GTGGAGAGAGTCAGCAGCTTCCGGTTCCTCTGGGTCCACCTCACTGAGGACCTGACATAGACTCTTCACACCACCACCATCACCAAAAGAGCTCGACAGCGGCTGTTCTTCCTCCGCGGGCTGAGGAGGTTCAACATGGACATGAACAAGTTGCAGAGTATCCTGACCTTCTACACGTGCACCAGAGAGAGTATCCTGACCTTTTACAGGTGCACCATAGAGAGTATCCTGACCTTCTACAGGTGCACCAGAGAGAGTATCCTGACCTTTTACAGGTGCACCATAGAGAGCATCCTGACCTTCTACAAGTGCACCATAGAGAGCATCCTGACCTTCTACAAGTGCACCATAGAGAGTATCCTGACTTTCTGCATCACGGCCTGGTACGGCAGCTGCACTGCCCTCAATCATAAGGCTTTACAGAGGGTGGTGAAAACAGCACAGAACATCACCAGGACGGAGCTGCCATCCATGGAGGACCTTTACTCCCAGCGGCTCAGGAAGAAAGCCCTCAGGATTATAAAAGACCCCCATCACCCCAGCCACAAACTGTTCAGTCTGCTGCCGTCTGACAGGCGTTACCGCAGCATCTGGACTAAAACCACCAGATTCAGAGACAGTTTCATCCCACAGGCAATAAGACTGCTAAACAACTGAACTGCTGAAACAACATCCATAACATTCATCTGCTACTAAGCAATTATTTATCTATTATATAATTCCAATAGCTTGCATATAGACTCTTATTTCACTACACTATTTTTCTTTTTGTATTTACTTTTTAATATTTACTTGCACTATATTTTTCTGTATTATTGTGTTGCACTGTTGGAGAAGCCTTTGACCTAAGATTTTCATCGACATAACTACTCTGTAGCTATGTTCGTATGACAAATAAAAAACTTGAACCTTTCTTTTCCAATTTTTCAGTACATTTTTCTTTTCGCGTCACCTTCACCCTTAATAGGATTCTCTGCTCTTATGATCTCTTTATCAGGCGCATATCTGCAAAGCTACCCTTCATGTACCCAGATGGCAGTTCATAATTGCTATATAGACCAACCCTAACCTTTGTCAAAAATCAATAAATTAGGTCAAGGCAAACTTTATTATTCCAAAACAAAAACATTCGGATGGTCAGAGTACAGAAAACAAAACAGTCATAAAAACAGATGTAAAAAATAAAAATGCAATATAAATTCCTCCTCAATACAGTAGAATGTTCACAAATAAAAAAAAACTTTAACACTATATATAAATATATGTTGAACCAGAAAGGCTTGGTAGCTAGTTGATAACTTTTTTTATAAAGCATTCCATTTTGAAGAATAGGGGATTTTATTAGCAAAAATATTATATATTTGTTCTGCGTTTGTACTATATTTGCAAACAAACACATCTGGGAAAACTAATGCTCGATCATGCTCTTCCACCCCCCCACCCCCCCACACACACACACACAATCACTCTCACACAGTCATCACTGTTTTGTGATGAATACAAAATGACATTTCAATTGAGCTATTCCCTGTTGTCATGTTGTGGCACTTTTTGGTTCATTTCCCATTGCTGTCTCTCTATTCATCTTCAACATCTGTGTGTGTGAAGACTTAGGGGACTCGTCAGAGATTTATCTTGCATATTTTAACTTTTTTGTTGTTGTCTTAAGATGTGACAAATACTCTCCTTTTTCCATTTTCATCAACTCTCTCCCTCCAAAAGTTGTAAAAACTTTCTTTTTAACTTTGTGTGTATGCCTTATGTATTGGCTATGCAGACTTTTTGGAAGTGTGTGCATTCGTTCACGGCCTGCTGGAAATCAGTACCGGCCCAGTATCAGCTCCCTCACCAATCAGTGCCTGTTGTTCAGAGTGAAATGTCAAACCAGTCAGAGCCCACTATTTCGAATAAAACGGTAACCAGATGGCTTAGTTGGACTAGAATCCTCTGAATGAGAAATCATAGAAAGACCCTCATGTTTTGGCCTCTCTGAAACTTTCTTTTTTTCTTATGCGTGGTTCAATCAGTGAACCATGCAGTCAAAGGCAGGAAAGAGAACAGTAACATTTAAATGTGGATCGCCTGAGGCAAGCAGGATTGCTCTTCGCAAAATCAACAGGCTCATTTGAGATAAGCCAGATCATGGAAATAAAGGAAAGGCGCCATCAAATAAAATAAAATGAGAATTTAAAATGTTGTGAACAGATCCAGTCAACGGATGATGCACACCAAAAAGCATTTTCTTTCACCTTTGCATCCTAACATTATGATTATCTAATGAATCAAGGCTTTGCCTCTTCTTGTTGGTGGTGTTTTATTGTCTCATTTAACCAACCCCTTTTTAAGTCATATAGACACTTCAGATAATCACCAGTGAGGTACTGACTGACGTATTGTATGTCCTAGAACAGAACATGAACATCTCTTAAAGGCCTCCTATTAAGCTATTTTTTAGGCCTATATCATAGATCTCAGATATATAATGTCTATGAAATGTTTTGCTCAAAATACCAAACAGATCACCCATTCTAGCCATGCCTCATACCCCTCTATTTCAGCCCTGTTAGGGAAGAGCTGATTCTGGGTCCGTAGCTTTAAAAAAAAAAAAGGGGAGAATTTTACCCAGATATTCAACTAAATGCTGCCATGATTAAACGCCATATTATGTTCCAAACTATGATGAGAATTTACAGTGATTCAATATGTAGGTCTCCTGGCTACTGAAGATTTGTTCGTTGTTTTCGAGTCCAGGAGGAAGTTAAAAAGAGACAATGTAGTCTCGAAAAGGTTCAAATGGGTAATTTAATAAAGTAACGTGGTTTTGAAACAGAGCAAATCAAGAACACAGCGCCATGTTCGGGAGAGAGAAAGAAGATAGCGATTCCACGTGGAACGAGCTAATATCCAATTCCTGGCTCCTCCTCTCATTGGCGGGTCTGACGAAAGGGGGTCCTCTCTCCACTCGTTCTTCTGTGTCTGATATCGCGTAAATAAGAGGATTTAGACGTTGTGTGTTCATTGTATAACTCCACAAGCCTTTTCTCCTCGTATTCTCATTCATGACTTTTTATTTAATGCATTTTAACCAAGCCCCCAGGAAGTGCGCCGGACTCTGATGAGAATATTCGTTGGGGCCAAACGGCGGTACTACACTCCCGTTTGGTTGCTGGGCCCGGAAACACTTTTTCCCATTGACTTATGTAAATCGTTGGATAATTTTTTTTAAACTAAATAATCCACCCAATATGAACGTTTGTACAGCCCTTACTAAAAAAATTGGGTCCTCAAGTTGTAAAATGTGCTAATAACGTTATTCTAAGAGTTATTTCCCTCTGCATTATGAACGCGCATCAATCCCATGGGACCGCGCCGCCGGCACGTTCATGTTACTGTTCAGTACTACATGCGTTTTACCTTACCCA